CGACTACTATGTTAGCCTGAAGGCGACGTACGAAGCCCGGCAGTAGACTATCGTTTGGCAGTTCATCCATTCGGGGTGATTTCCTTGCCTTTCTACGAGAAATACGCACTCCAACGGACGGCTTCACAGCATGGAAACAACTTCCTCGCTTCGGTGCCAGCTAGTGTTGTGAATAATTTCTAAGTCGACGACTTCCGGAGTGCATTCGATGACGCAAGAGATGCCTCGCAACACGTAGCGCAATTAAAAAGCCTGCTGGGAAAATGGGGGTTCCGCGTAACAAAATAATTATCCAACTCGCGCTTTGTTTGAGCCAACGTTCAAGAAACCGACAGAGCGAGTGGGGCTGTCAACATGACTGTACACCCACTCCCTATCGAGCCGACCTTGGCGGTGCGACGGAGCGCCGAGTCGGAAGAATTCATTTTTCAACTCCGGCCACCTGAAGGGAACTCCACCCGGCGAGGGCTGTCTTCGTCGGTCTCCAGTTTGTAAGATCCACTTGGTTTCTTAGCGCCGTGGCTGTTACCGGAAAAGGTCTTCCTGCAACAAGTATGTCGGAAAAGGGTGGAGTGGGATCAGCCACTAGAAGAGCAGGACCGGTAAGACTGGGAGCACTGGTTAGTCAGCCTAGCGAGACTGGGTGTGATACGAATCCCGTGCTAGCTCAGCCGAAGCAGCTAAACGACGAAGGCCGAACCGAATTTATTCTCCGACTTGTCCGAGGCGGGATACGCAGCAGTAGCCTACGTATGCTGGCTGCATCGGAAAAGGGAGCTCACGACAGAACGTCTTTTCGCCAAGGCCCGGGTAGCCCCTATGAAATACGTATCAATACCCCGTCTGGAGCTGACCGCGGTCATGCTAACCGTAAGTATATCGAAGCAGCTGCGACATTGCCTCAGTATCTTCGATGAAAGCGTCTGGTTCTGCACCGATTCTGCCATCGTGATACACTACGTGAACAACGTCAGAACTAGATACAGCACCTTCGTTTCTAACCGGCTGACGGTGGTGCACGAAGAGGCCAAGGTGCACCAATGGTGATATGTGAAATCTGCGGACAACCAAGCGGACCACTGCTCCTGGGGCTTGAAATAATTGGACAAACTATCTGATTGGCTCCGCAGTCCAAAATTTCTGACCGCCGGGATGGAGGCCGAGTGTGAAGCGCCAGCACCCGCCGCGCTCCTCAAGCTGATCGAAACCAAGAGAGTGGTAATGACGGCGGAAAGTGACGTCACCTTCCTCTGTTAAGGAAACTGGAAAGCTTCTGTCATGGAGCAGATTGATTTGTTCCGTCGCTTGGTGGATAACGTTTAAACATATGATGATAATCATTACCGAATTTTGGCCTGACGAATCGCTGCATGTGGGGCCCTTACCGACGGATCACCTAATGAGAGCTGAGAGCAAGGTCGTGAAATTAGTACAACAGCATCCCCCCCCCGAAACAACGACGTTGAAAGCAAATGCAGCGAAGAACCCAAAACGGACGACAATCTCACGGAGCGATTTGCGTAAACTAAACCCCATACTGGTCGAAGGGTTGCTACGCGTGGGAGGGAGATTGAACAATTCTTCCTTGGCTTTTGACGCTAGACATCCCATCATTCTGCCGGCCGGTAGCCCTGTCAACACCGTGCACCACCACCTCCCCGTAAAATCGGACACGTGAGAACTGACCGTCTACTAGGACCGCAATAAAGGAGACAATCGGTAGATGCATGTTTTGTCGCCGTCATAATGCGGTAGCCGAAAAGCAACTGATGGCATCCCTAACCGAATTCAGGGTTTCAGCGGGTGGGTGACCGTTCGCGGAGACAGGAGTGGATTATTTCGGCCCCCTGGTACTGAAGTGCGGGAGATCGGTGGCAAAGCGGTACGGGTGCCTGTTTACCTGCATGCAGTCTCACGCGGTACATTTAGAGATGGTGTACAGTATGTCTACTGACGCGTCCCTGATGGCGCTTCAAAGGCTGATCAGCAGACGCGGAATGTCGAACAACATTTACTCCGACAACGGTTCAAACTTTGCGGGCGTGTCCAATGAGCTTTAAAGGTGGCTCTCCTGAGTTGACCAGGGTGAACTACATAAGCGATTGACTTCCCAAAGTATTCACTCGCCGTACGTAAGCCATAGGGAGGGGGGCGTAGGAACGTATGAAAAGGTCAGTGAGAAGGATCCTATTGGTGGTATGCAATCAAAAGGTCATCGACGATGAAATCTTGAGTACAGCCCTAATCGAGGTAAAGCGCATACTGAACAATAGACTCTTGACCCCAGTTGCGAATGAACCCCAGAATCTCGCGCTCACGCCAAATGACTTTATACATTTGATATCGAATCACGGACTGGCAGTATCAATAATACTCACAAAATATTACATGAGCGGTTGGAAGCAAGCCACCCAATTGACAGGAGTTTTTTTAGGAAGCGGTGGGTCCGAGAGTATTTGCCTATTCTACAGGCACGGCATAAATTGATACTCAGAGATAGAAACTTTCGAGTTGGTGACATAGTGCTACTTGCGGAGGAGCGATTGTGGTGAGATGAATGACCCTTGGCGGTCGTCAAGGATTGCTTCCTGGATAAGGACGGTTTGTACACACGGTTAAACAGAGAACGGCAGCGGCGAAACCCTGCGAGACATCCGCCAAATATGCTACCTGGAAGGAGAAGAAGCGAAGCCGACCGGTAACCCAAGCAGCTGAGTAATCCACCGGGTTAGCGAGGGAGGCTCTGTGAGTCATGGCAAAAGGCTTGTGGCTCACCACCTGAGCTGACGGAGAAGGATATGACGACGATAGGCTCGAGAGAACGGTACATAGACTGTAAGGTCTAGGCATTTAGGGTGAGAATTAGTGCTCCCCTGAATTTCCCTTTGACCGTGTGACGCGAAGAATGATTTCGCCTGGCGGTGTACCGATCGATCTGCGAAATTCTTTCTGTAAAGCCCAGCCATTCTACCTTGGTTCTACTGTTCGTAACTTTCACGCTCCATCCATCTAATACTATCCGCCTTATACATACATAGACGCTTGCCATTCCACCTTCCTTGTATATTTACACATCGATACCACCATATGACTTTGTTTGTTTTACTGCTTCATTCGTACCCTATTTGTTTTAAGCGCAACCTGACCGCTCACATTTGATTCGTTTGAACGCAGCGTGACAATGAGCGAGCTACTCTTATCCGGACTGATTTCCTTCCGTTCTGCTTTATTGAATTACGCTCGCAGTAACACCTGGCTAGATCCAGTCTAGTTGAGTTTGGAAATCCCAATATAAGGGATATGCTACTGTGCAGTAGTGAAAGAGTAGAAAGAGCTACCGAGGGTCGATATCACATTGCACCAGGTAACTTAAGTCGCATGACTGAACGACCCCTGGTGGACGTCGGTCCAAAAGTGGGTCATCCGCAACCGAGAAAAGATGTACCCGTGAAGAGCGGCCCCAAAAGTGTTCAAACCCACACCTTGGTAAAGGTCCACAAAATAAAGAGTGGGCGAAGAGTACTGAGTTATGTTGAGGTCGTTGCATCCACTCCACACGTAGGCTGCCCTCAAAATGTCGCGCCCATCAGCCCAGGGTATCATACGGTAAATGGAAAAATGCAACCGAGAACATCGAAAACCAACGTCAAACAAAAGCTTAGATAACCAAATCCGCAACCAGCAACACTACTTCCCTGCACTAAGGGAGGTAAACGGCAGGCAGAACATCACCCGGTTAAACCAGGAGCGAACAAGAAGACTAGCATAAAAGCGACCGGGAGGATAAAAACGCCACTGAAGGAAACTCCAGCCATAGATATGAATAGAACTATGACCCCTGTCTTCACTTCTACGTGTACGCAAACCCCCGAAAATAAGAGTCCAAGGGTTGATATAAGAAAGCCGCGGGTAGCAGCTGCTTTGCAAATCAGCCATGGTAGCGTTCAACTGGATATAAATGCACCGGAATCGGACAGTGAGAGGACAGTCATCAACAGGATGGCTCAGCGCAAAAGAAAGAACTATGAGGAACGGCGCGGTAAAGAAATAAGCGTGGGAATAAATACCGAGGGAAAAAACGTGCTGGGCTCTCTGGTGTTAAGCCCGAGGGAACTCGTGAAGAAATTGGTTCAAACACGGAGGCCCCAGCACCGCGAAAAAGAAGTTTGAAAACGTGATAAACAAACGTTTGCAGTGCTGGAACTAAGTGGGGTCAACTGAAAACCAGATGCCCAGAATATGACGTACTCATTCTGACCGAAACATGGTTGTCACCAAGGCACATCATAGATCACCTTGTTCCCCCGAACTTTGCTGTGTATAGGACAAACCGGGAGGTAGGTAAGGGAGGCGGAATGGTGATTCTCGTGAAGACTCAATATGCTCAGTGGGAAAACACTGAACCTAGCCTGGGCACCCCGAATGTGCAAACCGTTAGATGCACTATTGGGAACCGGAGGACGACACTTCGTCATCCTTGGAGTCTACAGAGCACCCTAGGCTAGATCAAAAGAGAATAGACAACTGATAAACATACTTAGCACGTTACTTAGGAAAACGACAATGACGATCATAGTTGGTGATTTTAACCTGCCGGAAATCGATTGGGAATACGCTGACACGGGAGAAAATCCCTCTGAAGGTTTTTCCACGAGCAGGCACTTTATCAGCATGTTCGACAACCAAGTCGATTCAGATGTGGACAGAGATCGTCCATTTTAGATTTAGTGTTTACCCGAGTGGAGAACGACGTCAGTGAATTGACTATGAAGGTCCCTCTGGGCAAGACCGATCATAGTGTAAAGCCGTTTAGGACGTGCATAACTCAGGAAAAGCCCCCCTCCAAGTTCATCAGGAACTTCGGCCGAATGAATGTGGCCGGTGTGCTTCAAGAGGCTGGTTCAACCATTTGGTGGGCGTCGAACCAAGATGCATCCGTCGAAGAGGATTGGGGCGTACTTTGGGAAGTCGTCGCAGAGCTCACTGACAGGTACGTGCCATTGCAGCCGAAGAGGAATTCTCAAGGCCCTGCATGGTAGACAACTCCCATAAAGAGAGTGATAACTTTCAGGGGGCGTAAATAGGAGGAACTATACAAACCTCGGAGGGCAGCGCAGGTGGTTGGCCTACAAAATGGCCCGACATTATGCAAACACGCTTATGAAACAAGCAAAAATAAAACTTGGATTAAAGATCACTCAGCAAGCTAAATCCAAACTCAAAAAGTTCTACGCGTACGTACAGTCGAAGGGTACCCTCAGGCAATCAGTAGGGGTCCTATGAAACAGCGCAGAAGAAGATGTGTCATCGGAGATAGAGAAGTGCGAGATAATCAAAATATTCTTTGAAAGCATCTATAAAATAGATGATGGGCACTGTTACCCCTCAAATTTGCCACAGGTCCGAGCTCCTCTAATGAGCGATCTACAGATAGAGCTGAAGTTCTGAAAATATTCTGTGAGTTAAAACTTAGCAAATTGGCGGGGATTGATGGATTACATTCAGCAATTGTCAAGCCGCTCACACAGATTTTGACAGCTCCCGAAATGCTACTTGTTTCCTAACTAATCTCCCTTACGCATGTCGCAATTGAACCAGTTTCCTTCCGCAAAACAGTTGCATGACAGCGAATGAAACGAGTTTGAAGCTTTAGGAAAACAGATTCCTACCAAAGCAAGAATCTGGACGCTTGGTTGGCGAAAGCCTTTTCCGTCCTGTGCAACCTGACCTAACCTGGCTCTTGTTTTCAAGTTGCTTTGAGATCACATTGAGGTTTGTACATATTTTGTTTGCTTATTCGATCGTTTAATAATGCAGTACCGTATAAACTTGCTGGATCGTTCGTTTAATTAACGTTTTGGGATCGGAATTCGGCAACCCGTTGCTTGTTGATCTATTCGGGAGGCACAATTACACCCACTGGGTTTTCTGGTCCATCGATGTGATATCACTGACGGTCGCATCGGCGGTGGTTCACTGATACTCATAGCGGAACAACTAACTCAATTAGCCATAACCAACATAGGGAAAGCAAACATACAATCAATCGGGTGCCTGTTAAATTAACATCATAGTGACGTAGAAGTAATTTTCACATGCCATTGACATTGGTCCTACACAGAGGAGGATGATCAGTTGATTGCCCACCTCAGAAAAATAACGGGACAAACAAAAGTGGTTCTGTTCTTAGGCAGCCTAAACGCGTGTAGTGTGCCCGATTGTATGGTGAATATAGGATTATAGATATTTTCCGAACACCATTTTTTCTCCATGATCACATTTCTACTTCAGTACCAACGCTATGTGACGCTTGTTTTACACGACCGCTGACTGCGACGTTAGAGCTGTAATTTGCTCACAGAAATGTTAGAAACCAACGCGTAATTTTCGCACTTATATTGGAAGCCATTCCGGGCGACAAATTACCTTCGCTTTACGATTAAGTTTGAAATCCCCTCACGATTATCCATTTGATAAATTAAAATTGGCATTTTTGACGCCCTCTTATCCTAAGAGGAACGACTGCGGAAATTATTGTTATGGGTGACGCTAAACCCAACCAGTACCTGGCTCACCTGAGGTCCCTCGCCAGTAACCGTCAGGAAGCTATGGATTGAGTCGTTACCGGTCCCTGATCAGAAAGCAGTAACAGCTCTCCTGGAAGATACCTCGCTAGATAAGGTCATTCTAATTGTGGACAGAATTATTGCCGTATCGGCAACGCCGACCCCTCGCTCGTTGCCACGAACTTGCACCAGACCACCCCATAACGTTCCGCACAGCGCGGCAAGTCGGGCTAAATTCAGGAGCGCCTATCGTTTAAGGATAGAGTACCTAAACCTACCTCTCAGGTCTCGTGAGACCACGCACACCGTGGGCGCACTAAGGCTGCAAAGCCCACCCACTCCTCGACCAAACTTCGGAGTCTAAACCCTGTAAATCGATTAGGGACGTTTATTGGTAGTTTCATAAATCCTATGGACCAGGAGTCCGCAGATGGAAGCCCCCATGTGCTTACGTTGCGGGAAACGCCATAACCGGCGAGTAACTGTGACCGCACTTGCCGGCCCACGTCCCAGGTTGGCCGCCTATTTCACGCGCAAGATTATTAAACACACACTAGGTTTCTCATTGACACAGGAGCCCAAATTTCTGTCGCACTTGTCGGTAGCAGCAAGTCTCGTGCTTCACAACTTCGGTTGTGCGTTGCGAATGGCATCCCCATTCCTTGTTAGCGGTTAACCTGGAGACTTAACGACGGTATCCGTGGCCTTTGATTCCCTTCGTATATTTCTACAGATATCCTCGGTATCGATTTTCTGCAGTTCTATGAGTTACTCGTTGACTCACGTAAACTGTAATTGATTGATACTTTGTCGAAAAATAAATTTGAGGGTCTCAAATTTCGCACAGACGTCTGCCAAATCACAGGTATGTTACCTGATTCTCTCGACGTGTCCCACTCGTTATTCGAACGCTTCCCCAATTTGACCCAACCTATTGAGGAGATTAACCTAGTGACAGATCGTGTGGCTCACTTTAAAGTCACTAATGGACCACAAGTCACTGCACGACCTCGCCCACTGGCACCAGATAAATTAGCTTTCGCTGAGCGCAAGTTCGATAACTTGCTTTCAAAAAATATTGTTTGTCTTGCTCTCAGTCCATGGGCCTCTTCTTTACACATGGTTCTTAAAAAAAGACGGTATTGACTGCGGACCATGTCAAGATTATTGAGCGCTTAAAGTAGTGACCCATTTTGAGAGCTACTCCATTCCTCACATACACGACATCACCGCCTCACTTCATGATTTGACTATTTTTTCGAAAAAGGATATGGTGCGGGCCTATCACCAAATCCCACTTGCTAATGAAGGCGTTTAAAAACTGCTGTCACCACTCCTTCTGGTCTGTTTGAGTTCTTACGTATACCTTTTGGTTTGCGAAACGCTACCCAAACTTTTCAAGGGTCTATTGATAGCATTAAACGAGACTTAAACTTTGTTCACGTGTATATCGATGATTTTTTAATAGTATTGTAACGAACAAATCGCAATTGCCCTGTTCCAAGCAAAACGAAGAAGACCTCGTCTGTATGCGTTCAATCAAATGACCCTTTGCTGGTTCTAGATAGCGATAACCAAACCTCAGAGCAACTCGTGGCCCAAATTCTCGAGAACAAAGTCGATAGAAGAATAACTCACAGGACTATTTTGATAATAATCAAAAAATGTATAAGCTAATCATACCTCTGATAGTGAGCCTGCATTCACTATCCAGCCAAAATGTTACAAGTATTCTCTAAAAATGTACTCTGTAATTAAAAGTAAATAGGAAAATGAGCGATTCGAATCACCTTTCAGATAATTCCGGATTGTTTGAAAAATTCCACACGCTTCAGCAGATTAAGCAAAATAATCTTGAGCTTTGCAGCCATCAGAAGTTCAATATAACCGAAAGCAACAGTTAGTCCAACACAGTTCGTTCAAACAAAACTTTGGTTGTAATAAAACAAGAAAAAGCACTGAGTTCTATTAACATGTTAGCACAAAGTACTTGAAGCTCGTGTCCAATAGATATGCTTCACCGTAGAAACGTGAAATAGAAGGTTCAAAATAGAAAATTCACCGACACGAAAATCACTGTCATAAATAATGCAAGGTAGAATGGCGAAGAAATATAAGAAAATGCAAGGTAATAGAGAGGAATTTCCATTCCTTTTACACCGGCAATCAAAATGCCTTCTAGCGGAAAATGTCACAATAAATAGTCTCTTGTTCAGGTTCCCTCTTCCTACTTACGCTCCCGGATCAATATAGTTCACAGGACTTACAGCAGTACACCCGCGTACCCCCAGTCTATCACCTGGGTTCTAGTCGGCTCCTTTTAATAAACACATACAACGTACATCTCTTCTTATCTTGCCGCCAACCGTATGCACCACAGCAGCTCGTAAGAGTCCATCTCCGTCTATCTCGTCTTCATTGATGTTGCTCATGGGCCATCCGCCACTTGTTGTGGTTTTAGGTGCTATCAATACGATGTCACCTGTTTTGAAATTGCTATTCTTCCGAAGCCACTTTTGTCGCGCTTTCAGGGTATTTATGTACTCCCTCATTCATCGACGCCAGAAGTTATTAGCAAAATGATTGACTTGTCTCCACCGTCTTGTATAACTCTCCATCATTGTGAGACCTAGGTTTTGCTTGTTCTCCGTCAACAACAATAAAATGTACGGAGGCGGTGCTCTTCTTTCCTTATCATCGGATAGGCACGGCACCCGAGGTCGGCTATTCAATATCCTTTCGATTTCTACAAAACAAGTTGACAACGTTTCCTCATGCATTGACTGCTCCTTCATCAACACAAGTAGTAACATGCACACGGAGCAAATGATTCTCTCCCATACGCCTTCCCTGTGACTTGAGGAAGGAGGATTAAAGAACCATTTTATTCCATCGCATGCAAGACGGTCGTTAATTTTTTTTCCATCCCAGCCAGTTAATTGCATCCTTTGGTTCCGAAACGGCATCCACGAAATTTGATCCGTTATCACTATAAATCTCTGAATATCTTCCTCGTCTACCGATAGATCTCAATAAACACAGGATGAACGAATCGCCATGGAAACTACCAGCTACCTATAAGTACACGGCTTGGGTCTGTAAACACGTAAACACAGCCATATTTCTTTTCTAAACCACGACCCTTGCGATCAAGCACAGGTCCGAAATAATCAACTCCAACGGATTTAAAACAGCCACCATTTGTTGACCTGCAGAAGCTATCGTTTTCCGACATACTATGCATTGACCTATTACTCGCTTCACAGCACCGATCCTCTTGACAATCCAATATTTTTCACGGATCGCAGACAAAATTTGTGACGTACCATTATATCCTTCCCTACTATGATAGTGGTGAATAATAAGATCAGTTACATGATGTCGATTGGGTAGGATCATAGGATGCTTGGAATGGGATGAGTAGTTTGCGCAACAAAGTCACCCACCGACACAAAGCAAGCCATCTGTCGTAACTGGACAAAGCTTCCTCAAAGAATGAACCGTTTTCTTTTTTGTGCTTCTTGAAGTTTTGCCCGAATGTTCTATTCTGCACCTTTCCTAAACACTTTCATCGAGCTGCGTCGATTTCTTTGATCGTAAGGATTTCTAAGCTCAAAGTACTTTCGTTTCCCGACGAACCCATAATTATAATGTAAGAGATGAAATGAATAATCCATGCAACTGACTTTAAAAGTTTTGACCATTGAGAGTAACGACGCAGAAGCTGTTCTAGTTTTATCGACAAAATAGCTGTGTTCACGTGTGCTACAATTTTCTTTATCTCCGTGTCATCCAGTGGGGACAATAATAGAGATAATGCCTGTGGAATATAGCTCTGTAAAAACATCGGCCCCTCTAACCATATCTCTAGTTCTCGTTTTGTTGATATAGCCCCAGAAGTAAGGTCAGCAATATTTTGTTCGGACAGGATGTGACGCCACTGGGACACCGTGGAGTACTGATGGATGAATGCTAACTGATTGGCAAAGAATAAACTAAAACGTGTTAAAGTATTTTCTATATAATATTTGACAATAATCGAATCCGTCCAGTACCATACCTCGCTGAAGACTGATAGAGCGCTTTTCATCAACACTTCTATCTTTATTCCGAGAATTGCCGCAGACAGTTCCAGTCGCGGTATGGTTACGGGTTTGTTAGGTGCCACTCACTGAATAGCAAAACGTAGTAAACCGGTTTTCTTGCTTGAACGCACCACGGGTAGACGACGGCCCCATAGTCTGTCTCGGATGCATCACAGAAAACATGCAACTCTGTTCTCCCTCCTTCTCCCCAGTCTTCGTTCCTTATACGTCTTGGGATGTTAATCACTTCTAGACACCTAACAAAGCGTACCCAGCTTTNATCACAGAAAACATGCAACTCTGTTCTCCCTCCTTCTCCCCAGTCTTCGTTTCTAATACTTCTTGGAATCTTAATCACTTCTAGACACCTAACAAAGCGTACCCAGATTTCCCAAATACTGGCGTCTACAGCATTGAGGGGTTGGACCCAACCCATTTTGGATTTACACAAGGTTTGCAGCAACTGATTTGCTGGGAGGCATAAAGGGGCCACCAGACGTAGCGGGTCGAACCACGAACTGACGCTGGATAATATGCCTCTTTTTGTCACCAGCTTATCTAATAGCTGGAACTGAAACGTAAAACCATCTCTTGTTGTGTCACACTGCACGCCCAAATCTCACTGAAAACTGAAATCGAATTGAGGCAGTTGAACCAGGTTGGTACTCGTGCTGTCTTTCGAGAGGGATTCTGCAAGTTCAGGTGAACTAGATGATTACCTTCTCAGTTTAGAACCAACTCTTCCCAACAATTCGGTTATGTCCTCCGCCGTCGCACGCGCTCCAACCAAAGGAGCCGCAGCCCCGTGCGCCCGCGATCTCGATCGCCGTCGAGCGGGATTTACTGGTATCACCGCCGCTACGGTGATGCCGCAAAGAGGTGTCTCACCCCGTGCATCTACAGCCCCAGGTCGGGAAACTAGTTAGCCGACAGGCCCAGGTGACGACCGTGTCCTGCTAGCAAAACGTAAGTCGTCTGTTTTTCGTCATCAACCGACACACCGGAATTCACTCCCTGGCTGACAGGCGCACAGGTCAGCGTTATTCGCCCTCTTCCCGTTGACGTCCATCGTCTCTCTACCGTAGAACTTGTCGCTGCAAACCGCACACCCAGCAAAACCTA